GTAAAAAATTAGGTTCAGGGTAAAAAAAGGGACGGACGCCCATAAAAATTTGGGGCTTAACCCAAAATATGCCCCCCACCCCAAATGGGAAATCGGGGCCCGTGTCCTTTTTGGGTTTTTCTTGGGGGTTTTGATTTTGGGGGATAAAAATTGGCTCGCAAGTTTACAATATCTGCTTAAGAATAATATTGAAGCACTATGGGGTTGCAACTAACCCCCCCAAAATTTTTTTTCCCTTATTAATAATAAAATCTTGTATGATTTTGAGATATTAGCTTACTATAGCTTTGATTTGGTACAAATAATATTAATCACCATAATTGCCTTTTTGAAAAAATATATATAAATATTTGTACAAAAAAATTTTTTTATCAAAAAGGCAAATTTTTGTTTTGGACAAAACATATTGGTAAAAGAACTAAAGGTAATTATTAAAGTGGTGATCAAAATTATTAAGGTGTGAAAAATTTAGGGTTTTCTTAAATTTTTGCCGTATTTTAACAGTCTGGAGCACTGGCAATATTTTGTTTAAGGGAGAGGGACACCGCCCTCTCTAAGTATCCAGAATAAATTATTGCATAAACCACCACCACCCCAGACCCTGCATTCACTATAATATCCTATCTACCCGGAACCCTGCATTCACTATAAAATCCGCTCTCCCCGGACCACCGGCATTTACAATATCCGCTCTCCCCCGGACACCCGCATACACTATATCTGCCTCTACCAGAACCACTTGCATATCAATATATCTGAATACCCGGCATTCACTATTATACGCTCTCCACAAACCCCGCGCATAAATAAAATATTACATAAACCACCACACGCACGGATCCTTCAGTCACTATGATCCGCTTCTCCCCAGACCCAGCTGTTCAATATAATCCGCTCTCCCTGGACCCGCGCATTCACTATATCCGCTCTCCCTGGACACCCGCATTCACTATATCCGCTTCCCTGGACCCCGCATTCACTATATGCGCTCTCCCCAGAACTGGCATTCACTGATATGCGCTCTTCCCAGAACTGGCATTCAGTATATGCGCTCTCCTTGGACTCCACATTCACTATATTTTCGCTCTCTACGGAAACCGCATTCCCTATATCCGCTCTCCACGGACTTCGCATTCACTATATCTGCTCTCTCCCCAGACCCGGCATTCACTATTTCTGGTCTCCCTGGACCCTGCTTTCTCTATATCCGCTCTCCCTGGACCCTGCATTCACTATATCTGGTCTCCCACAGTATACCACAAAACATGGAAATGCAAATATTTTAGTAAATATAAACTGCTAAATACCTTTTCTCATCAGTAGTATAGAGCAGTCTTTTTTATCAGTATCCAGCAGATCACTGGTTAAAGCTTGTAGGAGAAGTTTTCTTTCTGCTCCTAGGTGGATGCAGAACCCCCCCTTGATCTCTGTGTGGACAGCGCTTATTGGCCATGTGCTGATCACATGCACCCTCCCAAGGAAAAAAGAAAAAAAACCTCTCTAGCAAGACACACTAAACTGAGCATGTGCAAAATTCCTACGGTTCAGGTCCTGTCTTTATCAGATAAGAGGTGGCCACTTGAAAAAAAAAGGCGGAACAGAGCAGAAAGGATCAATCTGCCTCTTTGCACAATGCAGAGGCTTAACCCCTTAGGCCCCACAGCGAGTATCACAAGCATGCTTTACTGCATCTACAGACTGATTGTTACTGTTGTGCGGGTTTAGTAACACTTTAATGTTTACATTTTATAGTCTGATAGGTGCACCATGTTACCATCTGATATTATGCTGTTTGTACAACTTTAAATCATATGAGGACCTACCCAATGTATCCAGTCAGTTTGTATCCAATTAGGCAATGGAGGTAAAGAAGATTGTAAGATCAGACTGTACTGTGTGTGGGGAGCTTTAAGTAAGCTACAGACTATTACATAAATTCTTTCCTTCCACTACGGGTGGAAAGAAAGACAATTGCTCAATCCCCCCCATCAACACAGTCAGAATGGATGGGGGAATCACTCCTGCCACACAACTGTGTTCTGCCAACAGGAAGCCTTCCCTGCCAGCAGAACCACTGATCACTGTTAGCTGATATAGACCTCCAGCAGTGATCGAATGCAAAAAAGTCCCAGAGGACGGTTGTACTGAATGTGATTGACGATCAACTTTCAATACAACCAGCCTGCCCATAGATGGGTCAGATCTCGGCTGGTCCTTACTAAACCTGTCCATATTTGATCCACTTATGGCCAGATGTAGAAAAAGTCTAATTTTATTGCTGATAACAGAGTTAGAGAAGATCCGTAGATTTAGACAACTGAATGTTAATCTGTCCCAGAATATGATTGTCTCAGTCAGTCCTGTTATACTCACCGTAATTCCTCTATCCGGCTTGTTGTCAGAGCCGCCATCAGATCCCTGAAATGAGGGACCCTCCAGATTGTTCCTAGACAGGCCCAGTGCCCTCAGTGTCCGGTTATTTCTTATTCCAATTGCCAGGTGGGGGCAGGAAATGTCTGTCAGGTGATTACCATCCAATCTGTAGAAGAAGAGAAGAATGTTACCAGAAGGAAATGAATCCCCCCCCCTCCAGGAATGAATGGAACTATTCTCTACATGGATGGAACTCATTTCTCTTTATTGAATCATTTATATTCGATAACTTTATAAATCTCCAGGAAATAGAATTTTATAAGACAAATGTTATAATGGAGTAAGATACCCCCCAATATTGTCCTCCATGTGTAGAGACGGTGATATCTCCATTCACAGGATGAGCACAGAATACCACTGACATGACTCGTATTGTGCTATCATTCTCCTTGTGTATGGAGCATGAATGGGATCAGCAGACAGTGTGAGGCCAGAATCAGCATTGCTAGTGATTGGACGGGAGGATTGTATCTGATATTCTATTTATCTCTGCTGATCAGAGCTCTGTACTCATAGGAAGTCATGGCGCTAGGTAACAAATGTTCAGTAATGGGAGATCTTCCGGAACTGAATAGCACGCCAGATGAAAAGAATTTGTTTGATGCTCTGATCACTCATTGCATTAAGATCAGATTCTCCCATGTAATGAGCATCTCTAACCGCTTGCTGACCCGCCGCAGTGTTTTTACTGCAGCAGGGCGGCACCTGTGGGCACAGCACCGTCTTTTAACGTCACTCGCGCTCCCTGTGTTTTCGCGGTGGGGGGGGGGGGAGGCGCATGCGTGCCCCTGCCGACCCGCTGGTGTCACCATTTTGATCCCCGAGGGATCAATCATTCGGTTTTCAGCCATGATGTCCGGCTGAAATCGGATGATCAGTCCCAGTCCTATCCTTTGTTGACAGTTATACAGGACAGGAATATGATGTCATTCTTTTCTGCCTGGGCACATTCTGTCCCAGAGAGAGAAGAAGAACATACAAATCGTGAGTAAAACAGCACATACCCACAGTTAGAACACACCTAGGTCACATTTAACCCCTAGATCACCCCCCAGTTTAATCCCCTTCACTGCCCTGTCACCGTGTCATTGATTACAGTGAACAGATTTTTACTCATCACTGTATTAGTGTCACTGGCGACTTCCGATAGTGTTAGTGCCCCTCCCAGATAGAGCCAGTTTACCCCACTAGTACACCAGTTAATCCCATTTAACCCTTGATCGTGCCCCCTGTTAACCCCTTCTGCCCTGTCACCAGTGTCATTGATTACAGTGAACAGAATTTTTACTCATCACTGTATTAGTGTTGCTGGCGACTTCCAATAGTGTTAGCATCAGTTAGCGCTCCTCCTCCCAGAATAGCGTCAGATTGCCCACTAGTACAAGAGTAATCACATTTAACCCCTTGATTGCCAGGAACACGCTCACTTGTACACTAAACCTCCATTGCTAGTATAGTGTCTGATTGGATAAATATCTTTGATCAGATCAGCGCTATACCAGCGTTCACATTAGTATAGTGTCCCAAAAAAACGCAGCGTTAGCGGGATCAGCTCCGACAACCTGCCAACACCTGCGTTTAGCCCCTACGCTTACCCCCCCTTCTCCCCCAGCAAGTGCAGTGTCAGTAGATAACTGTCACTTGATACATTATACGCAAAACCGCAGTGTTCACAGAATCAGGCCTGATCTGTTAGCACTTGTCGGTAAATTTTTTGTAGCGGCTCAAGCAGTCCCTGACAGCCAGGCGCTCTTTTTACCCGTGAGTTGCACTAGGTACCTGTAAAGCTAGTGGCCAAAATGTCCAAGCAAAGGTACACTAGTTGAAGAGGCCTACAGGATTCTGAGCATGTCAGGTGAGAGCGAAGGGGAAGACTCACTGACAGAATCCAGCTCAGAATGCGAACCTGTAGACAGCAGAGGCACCCTGACAGGTTAGCTCAGACGACAGAGAAGAGGTCCCTGCTAAGATCAGGCATACCCGACCCCAATTTTCAGGTTGCTGAGGTGGTACAAACGCATGATGACTCTCATATGCAGCAGACTGCCAGTACTAGTGCCACACAAACCTTTTGGTGAACTGGCGAGCACCACAGCAGCCTAGTCCATCCTGGTCTTATAACATACCAGCACTGCAGTATCACTTGGTGACATGGCGAGTCCCACAAGTGCAGTACAAGCTAGTGCGTGGCGAGCACAAGTAGTGTCCCGCGGCCACCAAGAATTCACACACAGGCCCGTAGAGCCCCTAGTATCCTTACCGGATATGCTTGCAAATCCTGATTGGCAGCCCACAAATTCTGAAGCACACTTACTTCCCCCATTCACTGGTCCCAACCCGGAATTAAGGTGGGAAACAGCAAATTTATATGAGGCGGGCCCCTTGATTTTTTCGAGCTGTTTTTGACAGATGATCTTTATGCATTGATTGTGGATCAAAGCAATTTATATGCACAACAGTTTATCACCGCCAACCCGCCAAGTTCAAACCTTGCCAGACCATTCGCATGGAAACCCATTATGGTTTCCGAATTTAAAGTTTTTTTTTGGGCCTAAACCCTCAACAATGGGCATTAATAAAAAAAATGAATTGCGGTTGTATTGGTCCAAAGACCCAATTTATCATATGTCCGTGTTCTCTGCTGCCGTAGCCAGGAAAAGATATGAGATGATATTGCGTTTTATGCACTTCAACGACACACACTCAGTCGTCCTCGGGATGACCCTGAATTTGACCAGCTCCACAAAATGCGGCCCCTCGTAAATCACTTAATAACCAAAAATTTGCAGATATCTATACTCCCCAGAAAAGCATCTGCAATGATGAGTCCCTCATTCAATTTGCTGTCCGCCTTGTATTCAAAACAGTATATACCCAGCAAGCGTGCCAGAATGGGGCCAAAGATGTATAAGACCTGTGAGAGGGCAACAGGATATACATGTAAGTTTTGGATTTATGAGGGAAAAGATAGTCACATGGAGCCCCCCTGGAACGCCCCAGACTACATAGGGGAGCAGTGGCAAGATAGTCCCCCCCCCCTTTGGGACTTGGTGTCATCCTTTTTCCATAGGGGGGGGGGGTACCACTTATACGTGGACAATTTTTATTCAAGCGTGCCACTGTTTAAACATTTGTACAATCTTGGAATTTGCACATGTGGCACTGTGCGAACTAATCGCCGGGGCTTCCCCCAACGGCTTGTAAATACTCCGTCTTTAGAAAGGGGGGAAAAAGCCTGCTTGAGAAACGAAGAATTGCTCGCAGTGAAGTGGAAGGACAAAACTGATGTTTACCTTCTGTCTTCCATTCACGTAGATACAACCATCCAAATTTCCACGGCAGCTGGTGTTGTTGAGAAGCCCCTCTGTGTCCATGATTATAACCTTAACATGGGGAAGGGGTGGACTACAACGACCAGATGATGAAGCCGTACTTAGTTTCCCGAAAATCCAGACGCTGGTACAAAAAAGTGTCTGTTTATTTATTCCAGTTGGCTATATACAATGCTTTTGTTCATTACAAAGCAACTGGACAAAAATTCCAGGAAATATCATCAAGGCCCTTTTGTATCCAAGAGGTGCTATGCCCCAAACTCCCAACCCAGATGCAGTTAGCCAGCTGCATGAGAGGCATTTTCTCGATGCCATTCTTAGTACCCCAACCCAAAGGAACCCCCAAAAAAGATGTGTCTGTAGCAAACGTGGAATTTAGGCGTGACACTCGCTTTTGTTGTCCCTCCTGTCCTGACCAACCTGGCCTCTGCGTCAAGGGCTGCTTCCGCCTCTACCATACACTAGTGGATTAT